TTTTCAAAGTGGGCCTGGAGTTGCAGGAATGAGGAAAAGGAATGGAACACTAAAATGAAACAAATAATTGACAACAAAAATACCTGTGTAAAGACCAGCACCGGCACCGCCCGAGCCCAGAGGCCCAGGTATTTGATAAAAATAGAAGTGCCAGGGGCAAGCCGTCCCTTGCGCCACCTATGGAAAAAAAGAATAAAACAACAAGTGTGGGAGGCATAGCATAGCCCACTACACCTACGAGGGAATAAATGTGGGGTAGGCAAGCAGCCAATGGCACCAACGTTGGAAACAGAACAAATGAGTGTGGCAGTCAATCCGCCCCCTGCAGCATCGTGGGAAGAATCTGCTTCTATTGAGCAAAGAGATGCACCGAGCTTACAGGTGCATTTTATTATACCCTTGCAATGTAAAGGGAATTATAATTTCAGTCAGAAGTTTGCAACGCAGTGAAGGAGACACCTCAGACCCCAGAAAGTATATATATTTTTGATCAGCATCACGATCTGAATCGAAATACGTCCGTAATCCGGTTCGGGGTGCCAAAGGTCCTGACCACGGACAAGGGAGTACAGTTCACAAGTAAGGCGTTCAAGAAATTTCTAACATAAATGGGTATTAGGCAACAATTTACAGCACCCTATACACCTCAAGAAAATCCCACAGAACAGGCTAATAGAACGGTTAAAACAATGATAGCACAATTCACGGTGCAGGGCCAAAGATGCTGGGACGAAAAGTAGCCAGAAATCATGCTAGCAGTCAACTCGAGCGTGCCAGACTCGACGGGCTATTCCCCAGCATTTCTCAAGGAAGGGCTGGACGACCGAGAGACTATAGAAACAGGAAACGCAACAGAAACATCAGAAAAGTCGTGCTTCAATCTGAGGCGGCGAGAATGGAAGCCCAAAGTGGGCCCAAAGGCCCGAGAACACCATCTGTCGAAAGCAATTGAAGGATTCGCGCCGATGCTGGAACCAAGGTACCACGGACATATCAGGTCACGGACTTCACGTCTCCGGTTTTATGCAAAATATGCCACCAATAAACTCAAAAAGAGCGAACAATACACATAAGCGGGCTTAAACAACAACAGGTAGGAGACACCGACGCAAACGGGGAGACAGTGCGATCCAAACTCATTATGGTGGCACTCACCGTGCGCACTTGGCATAGGTTAATGGTGCTAGCGGAACTATTTAGTTTAGCTCTCTTTCTCATTTCATTGGCCGTGTTACATGAGTATGGTCGTACGATTTTCTATGGAAGGTTTCCCTCATCACGCTGGTCTCCTGCTTACAACTGTACATAATCAAATTCTTGCGTAAAAAATGTTCGCCGCCCTCTTATTTTACGCTCTCTTAAATGGTGGCTCGGCGACAACTAACAAATTAACTCTCCAGCATTTATAACCTTCATTGCATTCATTCATTAAGCACTTTATGGATTGTTTATTTTTTCAACTGAGCAGGCATCCCACAATTACCCCTCGATTTGCCAATACCCGCACCAACCCCAAATATACGTGATATCAAGTTAAACGCCCCTTCCTCGACACTACACTTTGATAATATTTTTGTAGATTTTGAAAGATACGCAAATTACCAGAGGGAAAGTGATTCGATTATTATAGTTAAAATGAAAAACGATTCTTATTTATAAGCTTGAGGCGTAACTGCTTCCATATACTTCAATTTTGTATACCTGTGTGTATTTGATAAATATTTAAGTAGCAGAAAACCAAATTATGTTACTTATATAAAACTAAAAAAATTTTTGCAACGGAGGTGGGGTGTATTTTTTTGTGTTGGGGGTGACAAAAGACCACAAAAAAAAAAAAAAAAATAATAAAAACAAGAAAGGAAGCTAGCTTCGGCAAGCCGAAGCTTATATACCCTTGCAGTCATCAAATATTTCGAACAGAATACACAAAGGCTAAACAACATCGAAGCTACGACGACTTTTCTATTAACTTTCCATATTTTTGACTATTGTTCATATGGCAGCTATATGATATAGTTGTCCGATTTTGATGAAATTTGATTTGTTATTCAAGAGTCGTTGAAAACTCTAAAAATCATGATTTTCTGATGAGAAATAACGATGTTATCATTTTATTTTCCTTTAATTCTATATAGATTTTTCGATCTTTCCTATGGCAGCTATGATCCGATTTTTATGAAATTTTTTTATAAATCAGGGCTAGTTAAAAAACTTGATACTCAAAAATCATAGTCGTGTGATGAAAAACAGTGACGTTATCAACTAATTTCCGTTAATTCTATATATATTTTTTTAATCTCTCCTATGGCAGCTATATGATAGAGTTATCCGATTTCAAATTTAAACCGAAATTCAATAATAGTAATGAAACGCCATCTGGAAGAAATCAAGTCCATCTGATAAAAAACAACGGAGTGAGAATTTTTTTTTTCAATCTCTCGTATGGTAGCTATCCGATATAGTCGGCCGATCCGGCCCGTTCCGACTTATATACTGCGTGCAATAACTACACACCTTTTGGGAAAGTTTCAGCAAGATAGCTTTAAAACTGAGAGACTAGTTTGCGCGGAAACGGACAGACGGACAGACGGACAGACGGACAGATGGACAGACGTATTCCGATTCTACTCGTGATGCTGATCAAGAATATATATACTTTGTGGGGTCTGAGGTGTCTCCTTCACTGCGTTGCAAACTTCTGACTGAGATTATAATACCCTTTTGCTCTGCAAGGGTATAAAAAGGGTTAGTTAGCCGTAGAAATTTCGCAGTAGAGGCAATTTTGTTTTTCCACAAAATACCGAAACTTTACTCCGACTTCCTTATACTCAAACTAAAGTACTCTATTAGCTAAAATTTTTATCCGATAGAGTTTATCAATACTTTGTTTTTAAAGGTATGACTATCACGCAAATTTGGCCTTGTCTAGCTCATTGCTCTCGTGAGTTATGGCCAAAAGTGTAGGAAATATTATTCAATACAATCGCATTTTTGGCATTTTTAGCATTTTTATTCACCTTTGATGTTGTAAAACTTTACCGTGGGGCGAGAAATGTAAACAAATTTTTTTCTGATGACGTAGAGAATTCTATTACGAACGTACCCATATATCTCACTACGTACCTATAATTATTCGTTCGTTCGTTTTTGCACAAAGGTAAAAAATTGCATAACCGAGCCAAATCAAAGATAATACGGCAAATTTCGTAAATAACTTTAAAATCATAGACCATACAGATGATATAGAAAGTTTAAAGCTGATACTCCTTATTTTGACTATAGTTTAAGTCGCTGAGTTTTTCTTAACCTTGTATGTGAAATACAAGATTATAAAAAATATATACAATGGTGGCCATAAGTATTTTGACAAAATAAAAGTGAAATATACTCGAAACTTGAACTTGCTTCTTTTAACTTTTGGTATCAATGGAAAGGTAATTCAAATGCCGTTTGAATGATACCATACTGAAAAGGGCAATTAAAAAAAAAAAAGTAAAAAAAAAACTTTTTCCTTCGGCTTCAAAACTAAAATTTTTGGATGCAAAAAGTTTCTTTAAACAAAAATAATAGTAACTGCAAAAAAAACTTTTCAAAAATAATTTTTCTTCTATATTTTATGATTTTTTGAAAATGCTTAGAAATACGCATTTAAGCCATATTATTCTCTTTTCCATACAAATTTTTTTTGACATTGTCATCTTCGAAAAATCATAAAAAATAGAAGAAAAATTATTTTTGAAAAATTCTTTTTGCAGTTACTATTATTTTTGTCCTTCACAACAACCTCAGATTCAATACTACAATTCCGCAAACAGCGTCCGATGAACACAGATCGTCTTCTCTGAATATTTATATACTCTTATAGCTTTACATTGCCCGTTGGCTTACACGAAATTTATATTGATTGCCTATAGCTAAGAACATTAATTTTTGATCAGCATCACAGATAAAATGTATTGTACAATTTAGTATTTTATAATAGATAAAAAGTTTTAAAGAAATTATAGTATTTGTTTTTAACACTAGAGTGTTAATACATGAAGTTTTTTATACGCCTTTTGAAATATGAATCAGATTTCATCAAAGCATAATTTTTTCAATAGCTTGAGCCACAGTTTGCTTGTACTGTACATTGTAGTTCTCAGATCCTAAAAAAATTTCAGAAATTTCAGAAAACCGTTGTAAAGTTCGTATTTTAAGGGGGTCTTCCTATGTGACGGCCTGTTTTTTAGGGATATTTTAGGATTTTTTTTCTACGACCAGTAAATATTTAGAGCTTCGAGTTTTTTATCATTTATTAACACATATTTGGGCAGTATAAATAAAAAATTTCAGCTAAAAATATTCAGTCAAACTAGAGTTACAGCGCTCTGAACACCCCCGCCTCGAAAAAAAGAGCTCCCACTTCCTCCACGATTTCGGCTGATCGGCTTATCAGAAAAAAAAAAGTAAACGGCGTTTTAATTTGTAGGCTTAAATGCACGGAATGAACTACAATCAAATGAATATAAAAAAAATTGGATTTTTGATAGACATTTGAAAAAAAATTGCAAATTTGGCGTTTTTTTTTTTTTGTTTTTTGCTATAAAAAAATCGAAGTTTTGAAAATTTTCGATTGATAGTAGTTCATTCCATGCGTTTACATATATTGAGTGTGCCCTGTAAATTTCAAGTAATTCGGTCCAGCCGTTTCTGAGATACAATGGAGGAAAGTTTGAAAAACACAGTTTTGAGAAAAACGCGTTTAAAGTTTCTAACTGCCAACTCAGCGCTCCGAACCGCTCTTTCTTTTACCTGCTGTATCTTTAAAACGACTTCGAATTTTCTAAAATCGCTTTACTACCGTATTCTAGACATGTTAAGGGAGCAATTTATGAAAAAAAAAAAAAATCGATTTTTTCAACCCATCACATAGGAAGACCCCCTTAATAATATTATAATTGCGAGAGCATTTTCATTAGCATTTTCAAATGCTTATCTAAAAAAATTTTTTTGCAAAGTGTTTTTTTAGAACTCAAGGAACAAGGCGTCGTCAGTGGCCCCCAAGCAGCGAAGAAATTTTGTGCACTACCAATCGCCGACCTTGCTACTCGAAGTTTTATTTTATGGATGGACAATATTATTCAATTGAATTTCAACCAAGTTCTACGGCTAGTGATGTTTTGGAAATTATAAAGAAGAAAATTGGACTTCAAGATAATTCCAAGGGATATTCCATTTATGAAGTCATAGGAAACTCGGAAAGAAGCCTTTTGCCAGAAGAAAAAGTGTGTGATATAATGGCAAAATGGGAAAAGTATCAGGCTTCGTCACAGCAAGGAACTCAATATCAGGTAACAAATTGTGTTTATATTTTCATGTATTTTATATTTTCATATTTTTTTCCATTTTGTTTGGCTTTGTTTTGTTTTCTTACTAGCAAGGACCTTGGCTGTAGAGATTAATTTTGCACATTTTGACAGTAGACCATAAACGCTAGCTCTTGCCTTTGTATTTGGCTCTAACTTAAGCTTAAGCTTAAGCTTAAATTCCTAAATTTCAGACCACCATAGATTTAAAAGATTTTGGGTTTTTTATATGCTCATGTTCTATGAGGAACTATAGGAAGTGTTTTTCGAGAATCTCCAGATAATAAAACCCTGATTCCTTACAACAAAAAGTCATTTCCACAAATATGTATCATTCGAGTTCGAACGCCGCCGCGTATGGACGTGTTTTTCAATCGCTCAGTGAAAACTCCTATTTTACCAGCATCCAACTGCGAAAATATAGGCCCACTAGTGAACCCAACAAACCCCAGCGAAAAGACGCTTTCCCACACAAAAAAAACCCTAAGTTTACCTTATAAAACCTATCATAAACAAATAAGCAAGCTCCAAACAAAAATGAGTGAGCGCTGCGCTCAAACTCAGAGCGCGCGCCCTCGCTCAAGCATCAACAACGCTTACTTTACAATAAAGTCAAGCGCCGACAACAACAGTGCACATAGCACCCTCTCAGTGAAACCTCAGAGAGCACGCTCTTGCTCTCCCGCGCTTTTACAAGCAACGCCAAACACACCAGCCGCTCTCCCTATGGAGCAATTACCTTGGAGCGAGCAATGCACCTCACCGCTGCCCCCGCTCTCTACTCTCCCGCCAACCTCAACGTCAACACAACCCACAAAATTACCAACAACGATATCCAATACCGCAGCAAGTACCAAACAAATAAACTCCAAGCTTTTAACATCGTCTCTGCCACTCTCCACAACATCTGCAACAACTACAACAACGACAGCTTCCCTAACAACAACAACTACAACAAGCTACTCCTCTACTTCTTCCTGTTCTATAACAACAACACTTACCGAATTAAACCAACAAAGCCTTAAACGGACTCGTGAGAGACAGTCGCCTGGACAAGTAAACGAGCCAACGAACTCAACCAAAAAACAACGGAGTAAAAACCAAAGAGCCACCCAAAAAACACTCAAAGAGCATTGGCTAGCAGAACCACGCTCAAACAACCGCTTTGAGTTGCTGGCGCATGCGCAAGACGATGAAGCTCAAAGCGACAATGGGACAGACCGGAACCTAATCGCGCAAATATCACAGCGAAAACCCAAACCTCCACCGATCTACGTACAAAATGTAGAAAATATCCACGCACTAACAACTGCACTAACTGCCAGAGACAAAATTCGAGCTAAAAGACTCTCAACGAACGAAATAAAAATACAACCGCAAGAAAGTATACACTACACAAACATCCTTAAGTTGCTTAAAGACAAAGAGACAAAATTTTACACGTACAGACCGAAAGATCAGAGAGGATTCAAAGTAATACTCCGCCATGTACATCATGCTACCGAAAAAAACGAAATAATTAACGAACTAGCCGACCTTGGGCATACAGTACTAAACATCCACAACATTCAACGCAATGACACAAAAAAGCCGCTACCCCTCTAATCAATTGAACTTAAAACGCAAGATAACAATAAAGACATATACAAAATAAGCTATCTATTACACTGCAAAGTTACTTTTGAGCCACCGCATCAAAAACGTATAATACCGCAATGTACAAACTGCCAAAAATACGGACACACAAGAAATTACTGTACGAGAGATCCCATTTGCGTAAAATGCGCTGGTAAACACCAATCAGCCAACTGCCACCTACAAACAACCAACTCTGACAAGAGCCAAATAAAATGCGCTCTCTGTAGCGAGAACCACACTTCCAATTATAAAGGTTGTATGGTCTACAAAGCCCTACAACTTAAAGAAAATACCATAAATCCAGACCCCACCCGAAATTGGCACAAAAACTACACCTGACCTGATCAATCCTAAAATATCATACGCAGAAGCCCTACAAAAAAACAAACCTCCAACATCAACCCACCAAACCTTCCTACACAATGATGAGCCGTCCATTCCAACAAACAATAACCAACAACAAGAGGACATGCAAGAACTGAAGACACTTATAAAAAAAACTGATTGCACAGATGTCAAGCAAGATGAACATAGTTACCATACTTGTATACAAACTTGACAAACAATAATTTGATTATCGCAGTCTGGAATGCAAATGGACTATCGCGCCATATCCTAGAAATAAAGAGCTTTCTACAAGAAAACCAGATTGACATAATGCTAATTTCAGAGACCCACGCCACAGACAAAACATATATCAGCATTCTTGACTATAACATATTCTTCACAAACCATCCAGACAACAAAGCCCTTGGAGGCACAGCAATCATAATCAAAAATGACCTAAAATGTGTAGAAGTAGAAGGCTATAAGGCTGCAAACATACAAGCCACGACAATAACAATTTCGGACCAATTTGGACAACTTAACATCTCGGCTGTTTACTGCCCACCCAAATTTAATAACACGAAAGAGCAAAACCTAGACTACCTAAATTCGCTTGGGAATCGATACCTGGCGGGAGGAGACTACAACGCCAAGAATGCCATGTGGGGATCGCGCCTGACAAATGCAAAGGGAAGACAACTTTACGAAGCTATCAAAGCCAATAATAGCCGTACAATAAGTACAGGAGAGCCAACCTACTGGTAAACTGACACAAAAAAACTTCCCGACCTGATTGACTTTTGCATTACCAAAAACTTGACACACCAAAACATAATAATTAAGTCAAGCCTGGACCTATCATCAGACCACTCACCAATCTTAGTAACCATAAAAAGCACACCAGACCTGACAAGCAACACTCCGAGACACAAACACCAAACGAAGTGGAACCTATTCAGGGAGATATTACTTGACAACATGGATACCGTGGCCTCCCTAATAACAAACGAAGAACTAGACTCTGCTATAATGCACTTAAACGAACACATAATTAAAGCCCTATGGCAATCGACGCCGGCTCTGACCCCCGTAATAACCAAAAGGACTCCATCACACATAAATGACAAAATCAAACATAAACGCCAACTAAGGAAAATATGGCAGTCCACCAAGCACCCAAATGACAAGACCAAGCTAAACCGGGCAACAAAAGATCTGAAACAAACGCTACAAGAGTACAACGAAAGCCAAATCAGGAGACAGCTGGAAAATCTGGAAACAACGACATCTACAAACTACTCAACTACTTGGAAAGCAACTAAAAAACTGACAAAAGCAACCATACATAAACATCCAATAAAGACAAAGAAAAACTCATGGGCAAGAACAAACAAAGAAAAAGCTGATACACTGGCCGAACACTTTGAGGAAATTTTTACGAACAGTATGGACTACCAAAACATTGAGCTCCCATCACATTTACCCAAACTCAACTGTGCAATCAGAAAAACGACGATATACGAAATAAGAGAACAAATATTAAAAGTCAAAGACAAAAAGACACCGGGCTATGATCAAATCAGTGGTAAAACACTAAAAGAGCTGCCAGACAATACGATTAGATTTATAAGAGACATTTTTAGTGCAGTGATAAGACTTAAGTTCGACGTGGAAAATTGCCCAGATTACAGCAATCCCAAAACCGCATCTCGTTAGCTCATATAGACCAATCAGCCTGTTACCAATTTTATCAAAAATCTTCGAAAAAATTTTACTTGACAAAATCAACCCTATCTTAGTAGAACAAAATGTAATCCCACCCCATCAATTTGGTTTTCGAAAAAAACACTCAACGGTGCAGCAAGTGCACAGAGTTATCAACAAAATAACAGAAGACTTTGACAACAAGAAAGTTTGCGTAGCAGTATACATGGACATTGCAAAGGCGTTTGACAAAATATGGCATACAGGACTACTCCATAAGCTTCACAACATCCTACCATTTAACCTATTCGCTATACTAAATAGTTACTTGACTAACAGATACTTCTATATCAAATGCGACGATGAATGTTCAGATCTTATGCCTGTGGCAGCGGGTGTACCCCAAGGCAGCGTACTAGGACCAGTATTATACCTCATATACACAGCAGACATCCCAAACCCACTGACCCATGGTTCCATGATTGCAACCTTTGCTGACGATACAGTGCTATTGGCCTCTAGTTACACAGAAAAAAGAGCAGCAAACACACTTCAAGAGATATTAACAACAACAATGTCATGGTTTGAGAAATGGGGCATTGAAATAAACAAGGACAAAACCCAACAGGTGGTATACACAAAAAAGAAAATAACTACCCCAACAAGAATAAGAATAGATGACGAAATCCTGAAACTAAGTACTAGCGCAAAATACATGGGACTCACTATTGACTCAAAACTCACGTGGAAAAAACATATAATAAACAAACGAAACGAAGTAAAAAGTAAATTTCGACAACTCTATTGGCTTCTGGGAAGACAATCAAACCTAAACGTATCCAACAAGCTACTAATCTATAAAACAATAATAAGACCAATCTGGACATATGGAATAGAAATATGGGGAACAGCCAGCAAATCCAACCTCAACTTAATACAAAGAGCCCAGTCGAAAATATTAAGAATATTAACTAACTCAGACAGATACACAACAAATGACCACATCCACAGAGAGCTAAGAATACAGACGATCTCAGAGATAATTAAGCAGAATTGCATTATCCACATCCAAAAATTACTTGCGCACCAGAATCATAGCCTAAGAGACATTCCGAGAAGAGAAGCACAACCACGAAGACTAAAAGGGAGAACTCCCACAGCATTAGCGCACCAATAACAGAATAAAGATAAGTAAATAAAAATAAGCGAAATTAAAAAGTTATACCACCACAACGGTGTGGGTAATAAGTTAAGCCCACATGTTGTCTTCCAAAACAAATACTTAATATTCTATTGAATAGATGTAATAAATAAAA